CTTTTTTTTTTTTGTAGAGATTTTTGCTATAGGGCACGTACGCTCGCCGGAAAGACCGAGAGAGACAGAGAGAAATCACCCCCCAGGGGGGATGGCCACGCTGCAATCCCTTCTCCTCCATTCTCGTCTCGGGATCTTGGCCACGCACACGCACCCGGCGTGAGTTTAAGTCTCCGGGTCCAGAGATCGAACCGTGGTCAACTACGTGGGAATTCTGCGACATAGCCATTGCGCTAACTGCTGGCCCCTCAAAAAGAAGAAATTATTTAAATGACCTTTGCAAAGAATCACCTCCCTTTTTCTAAACTGGTGAGTCGCGAAATGGGCAAAAGACCAGGACAGACCTCTTCCCCAGCCAGTAGCTGAGACTCCACACAAACGTAGACGAATTCCGAGAAAAACCTGTTTGAGTCTCTGACTCAAGCATATTGTCTTCCAGGCTACCAACCTGCCCACAACAAAGATGGATCCTTCATTCCCCTGACTCCGCCTTCGAATTAGACTCAGCAGCCATCTTCCTTAAGGGCACGGCGCAGGCCGGAATCACACCCTACCTGCCTCAGGAACGCCCGACGCCTTTAAATCACCGAGAGTCCAATCGGAATCGACATTTTCGCAAGACCCGCTGTGCCTCGCGACCGGAAGAGGCTGTGCGTAAAGGCGTTGGGGGCGGAAGTGACGGGAAGGTAGTAGTGGGGTAGTTGGCGGGTGGTTGAGTAGGACCGGTCGCCATGTCCGCGGGGAGCGCGACACATCCTGGAGCTGGCGGGTAAGGCTTCGGGGACGAGGGCCTGGGAGCGAGCGCGGGGCCGGAGCGGCGGAGGGGGCGCGGGAAGCTGCGTGCGGGTGGCGGGGTGCTTAAATGGGGAGCGAACGTGTGGGAGGGCCGGACTTCTGGGGTGAGGGATGTCCAACAGGCCTGGCGCCCCCCAAAAGGGTCGGCGGGGACCCGCGGGGGGGGGGGAGGGAAGTGGGGAGCTTTGAAGGCCGAGCCAAGGAAGGCGAAAACGAGGGCTTGCGGGTCCGAGCGGACTCTTTGGGTAGGGATGATGGGGCAGAAGAGAAGTAGATTTCGGTAGAGGGTCGAGAGGTGGAGACGGGGAAATAATAGCCCTTATTGTCTGTTTAGGGAGAGTTGGGCGTTTCAGACCTGGCAGGAGCTTTGGCTATGTCAGTGGGACTTGATAGAAGGGGAAATGGTGTGCGAAAGCCCTGGCAAGGCAAGAAGAATATGAACGAAAGCCTTGGGGCCTAATACTTTGCTTCTACCTGTAGACGCCGCAGCAAATGGGACCAACCCGCTCCAGCCCCCCTACTCTTCCTCCCGCCGGCTCCCCCAGGTGCCGAGGTCACTAGCAGTGGGGGAAGCCCTGGGAGCTCCACAGCTGCTCCCTCAGGGGCCTTGGATGCGGCCGCCGCTGTGGCTGCCAAGATCAATGCCATGCTCATGGCCAAAGGGAAGCTGAAGCCAACTCAGAATGCTGCCGAGAAGGTATTCAGAGGGGAAGGGGCTCCGCTAGTTGCAGTTTTAACAGTCGTTTTGTAATTCTGTGTCATTAAAGCCATTCATGTTGATGAAGGACAGAGTGGGTATAGTCTCTTAAAACAGCTTTTATTAATGGTTTTGGAATGTTGCAGATGACTTTTTTTTCCTTATTTAATTTTATTATTATTTTTTACATTTTCTTCCACCTTTTATTGATTCACAAAATACCTTAAACTAAGACTATGGACGAAGCTAGAGTCTAGTTACAAGTGCACTGTAATTTTCTTCTGAAACATTTTAAATTAATTAATTAATTTACATTCATTCCCTGAGTATTGTCACATCATATAAAATGTGATTTCCTATCCAAAATATACTACATAGTGGTTGATTCATACATGTTGTCATTAATTTTCTATTTCTAGTTTCTTATACATACTTGTGTGTGTGTGTGTGTGTATATATATATATATATAACCCCTATTCCTCACACTCTGCCATTTCCCACCCTTCTCCCCCACTATCTCAGGTGTCTACAGTTGTTTTCCATTCCTTTTCCCCTCACATTTTATTTTATTGATTTACAAAATTTATTAAGTAATCTGACTTTCAATAGCAAGTTTAGCTGGTATGTACATATCTGTAAATACATGTCTGACTTTAGTCTTGAATCTCTGAGTAGCATGAATATACTATAAGGTAGCACCTAGCTGATGCTATAAAGCTTACTAGGGTCATTAAATAGGTATTTTTCTAATATATTTTTTAATTTCAAGAAAAGCAGTTTTTGCTTTAATAAATCAAAGAAATGCTAAGGAACCTTAGTTAAAACTTAAAGCCAGGAAAGAGGTTAGGATTCTGTTCAAGCAGCTCAGGACAGGACAAAAATCCTTAAAACTGGAATACAAAACCTAGAAGAAAATCAGCAATGTTTTAGTCAAAAGTCTTAAAATGCTATTTCACCAGTTCAGTCTCATGTACTTAATCTATCTTCTGTTGTGGTCCGATCTTCCCGATTGAATTCTGGGGTATAATAGTCAACTCCAGATGTGTCTCTGATTAAGCTGGCCATTTTCTTAGTTTTCGAACTCTCATTTCCATGCGTCTGTGTTTAATCTTCCTGGTAGAGCACTCCCTTGAGAACTTCTTGGAGGTCTGGTCTGGTGTTGGTAAATTCTTTCAGGTTTTGTTTATCTGAAAATATTCTCTTTTCTTCCCATGTGAAGGATAATCTTGCCGGCTACAGTATTCTAGTTGAAATTGCTGTTCCCTTAACACTTTGAATATATTTTCCCATTTTTTTCCTTGCTCGCATTCTGATGAGAGGCCCACTGTTAGCCTGATGGGGTATTGTTTGTAGGTAACTTGCCGTATCTCTTTTGCCAATCTTAGTATCTTGTCTTTGTCTGTGGTTTTAGTTCATCTGTCTATAATATGTCTTAGAGAAGATCATCTTGGGTTGATTCTATTTGGGGTCCTTTTTATTTCTTGGGACTTGATCTTTGAGTGTCTCTCTAGGTTTGGAAAATTTTCTTGCAGGATTTCATGGAATAGATTATCAATGCCCTTATGAGTCTCTTCGCCTTCTGGGATACCAGTGATCTGGATATTTGGATGTTTGATGGTATCTAGTATTTCTCGTATATTATTCTCATTTTGGGAGAGCAATTTTCTCAGTCTTCGTGGTGGGTTTTTCTAGGCCAGTGATCTATCTTCTACATCTGAGATTCTATTTTCTGTTTGATCTAGTCTGCTTTTAATATTTTCAAGGGAGATTTTTTAAAGATTTATTTATTTATTTATTTCCATTTGTTATTGTTATTTTTTTTTTCTTTATTTGACAAGAGAGAGAGGGAGAGGGAGAGAAAGTGAGAAAGCAAGCCATCAGGTCCAGGACTTGAACCATGGTTGGCCATGTGGGAATCCAGTGCCCTTATCCACCACACCACCTGCTGGCCCCTCAAGGGAGATTTTGACTTCCTGTATCATAGCCTTCATCTCTAACAGGTCCATTTGATTCTTTTTTAGAGTGTGTATTTCCTCTTTTAGATCTTACAAGAATTTCCTCACCTCCTGGAACTGTCAGCTCCTTTCTCCTGCCTCTTCTGCAGTTCATTGTCTCTCTTCTCTCCCATCTCTGTTAGCTTTGTCACCATGAATATTCTAAATTCTTTATCAGATATTTCCATAAGTTTCCTTGTACTATCTAAGTATGAAGAGGTGTTATTCTTTTCCCTTAGAGGAGAGGTATTGTCTTGCTTTCCCATATTTCTTGTGATCCTGCAATGATTTCTAGTCATCTGATGGATGGTGCGTTTCTTCCTAATTCTTGAAGTTCATGAGTGTTCAGAGGCGAGCAGGTGTTGATCTGCAATCTTTGTTCTGTTCTGTTTTCACTCTTTGTGCATCAGATTCAAGGTGAAGAGAGGAGTATTCTGACCCTAATCATATTCAGATATTTGGAAACTGTTCACTTGGACCTGTCTAGACACTTAGTGCATAGAGGCTGATCAGAGAATGAAAAAGATAAAGAAAAAAGGAAAAGAATTAAGAAGAGGAAAGAAGAAGAAAAAAAAATGAAAAAGAAGAAAAAAGAGGATTAAAAACCCATAAGATTATAATTTTAAAATGCAAAAATGAAAACTGCGCGGCACACATATTTCACAGCTGAATTATGGTATCCATCTCAGGATAGGCCTGGCTTGGGTTGTGCCTTTCCTAAATGAAGTGAGGGAAGGCACCAATTAACACAATAAAGGAGAGGCTTGAGAGTCCAGAGAATACTTTACCTTTAAAAAAAAAGTTGTTTTTTTTATTGGTTTTTTTTAAATTCAAAGTCACAAGGAGACACAGCAAGAAAAGTGGGAAGACACAGAGCTATCACTGTCCTCTAGAAATGAGTCTGGAGGGGGAAGTCTCAGCAGAAAATTTTCATTTTTGGTCATGAAACCAATATTTCTCAGCTGGAGTATGGTATCCATCTCAGGGTAGGCCTGGCTTGGGTTGTGCCTTTCCTAAATGAAGTGAGGGAAGGCACCAATTAACACAATAAAGGAGAGGCTTGAGAGTCCAGAGAATACTTTACCTTTAAAAAAAAAGTTGTTTTTTTTATTGGTTTTTTTAAAATTCAAAGTCACAAGGAGACACAGCAAGACAGAGAGAGACAGAAATGGAGAGGAAGAGACACAGAGCTATCCCTACCCACTAGAAATGAGTCTAGAGGGGGAAGTCTCAGCAGAAAATCTTCATTTTTGGTCAAGGAAATCACTATTTCACAGCTGTAGTACAATATCCATCTCAGGATAACGTAGATGATGTTTTTAAAAATAATGCATTTAACAAGGCAGTTCAAATTAGGCAATGGTATTTAAGGACCCCAATAACTTGTTTTGGTCCATGTTCACATAGTTTGGTTTAAGTTCTTTTTTTTTTTTTTTTTTTTTTTAAGAATAATTTACTTTTATTTTATCATTCATTTATTTTAATTTGATGAGAGAGAAAGCCACCAGAAAGTCTGGGGCTCGAACCCTGGTTGGGCATGTGGGTGTGTCCAGTGCCTTCGTCATTGTGCCACCTGCTGGCTCCCCAATAGTTTGGTTTAAGTTCTAATCATATACTTCTTTTTATTTATTTATTTATTGGAGAGGTTTTTGCTATAGGGCATGTGCGTTCGCCAGACAGACGGAAAGAGAGAGACAGAAAGTGAGAAATCCCTCTCCCCGGGGGGGAGATGGCCACGCCGCAATCCCTTCTCCATTCTCCTCTCGGGATCTTGGGCACACATGCACGCACCCACATGCACCCAGCACGAGTTTAAGCCACCAGGTCAGGAACTCGAACCGTGGTCGACTATGTGGGAGTCCAGTGACATAACCATTACGCTAACTGCTGGTCCCATCATTAATTTATTTTTTAATTTGACCAGAGAGAGACAGAGATTGAGAGTGAGAGAGAGAGGAAGTGAGAAAACAAGCCACCAGATTCAGGACTCGAACCCCAGTCGGCCATGTGGGAGTGTTCAGCGCCTTAACCACCACACCATCTACTGGTCCCCAAATTAAATAAATTTTTGAAAAATAAAAAAGATATTGACAAAGATGAAATATTCTCTGCATATTTAGATTCTTAATGCTTTGGAGAGGCTTTTTTGCTATAGGGCACATGCATTTGCTGGAAAGACAGAGAGACAAAACCTCTCCCCCCCAAAAAAAATGATGAAGAATAATGGGATGATTAACTACTTAACAATTTAGGACCTTTTTAGAAGATTACAAGGGTCAGATTAGTTGAATTTGATGTCGTGACTGTAGAGGTGGCACAAAGTTAACTTCCTATGGCATAAAAGGTGTACGGGTCAAACACGTTCTCTGCCCTCCACATTTACGGGACATACAGCCAGGTAATTGAGCCATAAAGCACCAGAACCTAGCCCTTTAATTTTCCTCTTGGAGGTTATAGCTCCTAGTCTATAAAGTTTCCACAGTCACATGCCCATAAACAGGTACATAGGGCCAAGGTTACGGGGAGGTCGAGTAAATTGACTGTACTTGGTGGGGTTTAGTGAGGTTTTGTTGGCTTGTTACTGTATTTATGAAGAAGCACCTAAATGTGTTTGCAGGCGGGGAAAGGAAAGAAGGTGGTAGGTCTTGGGAAGGAATGGTTGTAAATTGCACAACTAAAAGATTATTTTATCATAAGCTTTTTAATCTAATTTTCTTTTTTTCTTTTCTTTTTTTTTTTTTTTTGTAGCTTCAGGCCCCTGGCAAAGGCCTAACAAGCAGTAAAAGCAAGGATGACCTGGTGGTGGCTGAAGTAGAAATCAACGATGTGCCTCTCACGTGTCGGAACTTGCTGACTCGAGGACAGACTCAAGACGAGGTGTGGCGGGGTTGTCTCTTGGGGAAGGTGGTGGGTGGATTCAGAAAAGGAAGGCCTCTAGACAGTCAGAGGCCACTCATCTATTAGTCGGGTTGGATCGTGGAATGCAAAGCTGGGATTAGATTTAACGTGAGAGGAATGTAAAACAGATCTCTATCTGAATTCTTTGGGTTGGTGTGAGTTAAGAAACCATGGAATCAAGTTTTAGAGATAGGACCAGCAGGTAGCATGGTAGTTGGGGGCTAGACTCCCACATGGCTGATTGTGTTTCGAGTCCTGGACCTGGTGGCTTGCTTTCTCACTTTCCCTCGATTTTGCTTGCTCACGCTCCCTCGCTCTTTGATGAGCACGTGTGGCCCACAGCAAGTTTTTTGTTTTTGTTTTTTAAAGAAGGGGTTTTGCTATAGGGCACATGCATTTGCCAGAGAGATAGAAATCAAGAAATCACCTCCCAGGGGGCATGGCCATACCGAAATCCCTTTTCTTGCTTCCAGTCTTCTCTCGGAATTTTGGGCACATATGCACACATACCTGGCATGAGTTTTAAGCCAGTGGGTTCAAGGGTCGACTATGTGGGAGTCTAGTGGCATAACCAGTGTGGCATTTGCTGGTATCCCTATAACAAGTTTTTTTTTTTTTTTTTTTTTTTTACTAAAAAAACCACCACCTATATTATTCTTATATAATACCCCAAAACCACTGTTGGCAAAACTGAAAATGGTGCTGAGTTGCAACCAGCAAGAATAGAATGAAATGAAGGTAGTTCCAAAAATGCCTTGTTCATGGGCAGCCTCTGAATAAGCTTATGTTATCACCTATTAAAATACGTATACGGAGGTGACAAAACTCACTGAAGCGTTTTTTGGGGTTTTTTTTGCATACTTGTTGAGCGCACACGCCCTATAGCGAAACCACCCCCCCCAAAAAAAGAATAAATAAAATAAATAATTATTTTAAAAAATTGTATTAGGAATAGAGAATGCATTTTTACTTTCTGTAGTAGAATGAATAGGTGGAACAAAATTTACTATGCTGTCACTGAAAGCAGTTACCATGCCATCTTTTATGGGGGGGGTTTTATTATAGGGCGCGTGCACTCACCAGAAAGACAGAGAGACCGAAAGCGAGAAATCACCCCCCCAGGGGGGATAGCCACGCCACAGTCCCTTCTGCATTCTCCTCTCAGGATCTCGGGCAAGCACGCACACGTGCCCCGCATGAGTTTAAGCCACCGGGTCCAGGGCTCGAACCACAGTCGGCTACATCGGAGTCCAGCAACATAGCCATTACAGCAACTACTGGTCCCTTCATGCCATCTTTTTAATAGGTTATTTCCTTTTTCAGATCAGCCGACTTAGTGGAGCTGCAGTATCAACTCGAGGAAGGTTCATGACAACTGAGGAGAAGGCCAAAGTAGGACCAGGGTGCGTATGTGTGTATGCCCACCCTCAAGTGCCGGAAAGGGCTGAGTTTATGACTCATGGAATCTTCATTTGTAGGTGACGTGTAGGCCATGTACGAGCACTACAATGCTTGCAGCTGTTTCTTTTATAATTTTGTTCTAGAAGGATACAAATTATAAGAAAGTATAAAAGAAGATAATGATGATTATTTATTTATTATTTTATTTATTCATTCTTTTTTTTTTTTTTTTTAATTTTACCAGAGATAGACAGAGGTTGAGAAAGAGAGGAAGCGAGAAAGCAAGCCACCAGATTCAGGACTTGAACCCTGGTCGGCCATGTGGGAGTGTCCAGCGCCTTAACCACCACACCACCTGCTGGTCCCCTGTTTTTTTGTTGTTGTTGTTGTTGAGAGTTTTTTGCTATAGGGCACATGTGCTTGCCAGACAGAGAGAGACAGAAAGTGAGAAATCACCCCCCAGGGGATGGCCACACCACAATCCCTTCTCCATTCTCCACTCGAGATCTTGGGCACACACACATGCGCTCCTGGCTTGAGTTTAAGCCACTGGGTCTGGGACTCGAACCGTGGTTGGCTCCATGGGAGTCCAGCAACATAGCCATTATGCTAACTGCTGGTCCTGATAATGATTATTATTTAACATATATACTTTTCTAAACTTTTGCTTATGGAAATAGTTCCCCCAACAAATGGGTTAATATTTTTGTATAAACTTTCTTTTAAAAAATAAAAAATTGGACCCAACAGTTGGCGTCGTGGCCAATGCACTGGGTTCCCACATGGCCCATTGCGGTTCAAATCCTGGACCCTGGTGCTTGAAATCACGTTGGGGACATGGAGGAGAATGTATCGTGGCATGACCACTCTCCTTGAGGGGTGAATTTCTCACTTTCCCTCTTTGTCTTTCTCCAGTAACCGCATTCCTCCTGTGGAGTAAACAAACAAGCAAAAAAAAACTTGTTGCCTATGTGATGATTGCAGCTTATGTGCTTAAATATTTACTGTCATTCTAGTTTTTTTTTTTTTTTTTTTTTTAAGAATTATTTAACTTAGATTTATTTAAATTTGACCAGAGAGGGACAGAGAGAGAGAGAGGAAGAGAGAAAGCAAGCTGCCAGGCTGGGACTTGAATATGGTCAGCCACGTGGGAGTCCAGAGCTCTTAACTACCACGCCATCTGCCGGCCTCTAGTTTCTTTTAAATTTTTCAATGTCTGTTCTTCTTTCTCTTCGTTGTTGGTTAGCAGATACTTAAGAAATGTAGCATTTTTGGGACCAGCAGGTGGTGTGGCAGTTAAGGTGCTAGATTCCCACGTGGTGGACTACAGTTTGCATCCCAGGCCTGGCAGCTTGCTTTCTCTTTCTCTCTGTTTCTCTTTCTCTCTGTTTTTCTCTTGTGAGTGCATGAACCCTGTAGCAAACTAAAAAAAAAAAGAAGATAAATAAAATTTAATAACTTTTAAAAAATGCAGCATTTTTAAAAGAATTACATAATTGTATTCTTTTGTTTTTAAAGAATTATTTTATTTTTTATTTATATTCAACTTTATTTATTGTAATTTTTTTTTAAATTTGACCAGAGAGAGAAGGAACGTGAGAAAAAAAGCCACCAGGTCCAGGATACGAACTGTGGTCAGCCATGTGGGAGTCAAGCACTCTCAACCACCATGCCACCTGCCAGGCCTGTCACTTGTTTCTTTCTTCCTTCCTTCCTTCCTTTCTATTTTTGGACAGATTCTCACTGTGTCACAATTCTCGTGCCCTGCTTTCCAGTTAGTGGGATTACACATGTGCACAGTGGAACCCAGTGGGTTCAGGCTGGGCTAGGATCTAAGCCCAGGTCTCTCCCAGGACTTCCAGCCGCTGAATAGTGGTGTTCCCTGTGCAGCAGCATGGCCACTTTTTATTCACTGTGTGGAGATGTTGATCACTTTATAATCTAAACCTAAGCCACCTTTGAATTATTTATTTAAATGTTATTTATTATATTTTTATTTGACCAGAGAAAGAGGGCGAGAGAAAGTGAGAAAGCAAATCTCCAGGTCCAGGACTTGAACCACCGTTGGCCATGTGGAGTCCTGCACCTCAACCACAACACCACCTGCTAGCCCTAACCTAAGTCTTCTTTATATTTAGATTTTTTTATTTTTTAAGAGATATTTTTGCTGTGGCTTATGTGCATGCACCAGAGAGACCGAGAGACAGAAAGTAGGAAATCTCCCCCCACCCACCCCGAGGATGGCCATGCCATAATCCCTTCTCCATTCTCCCTTTGAGATTTTGGGCAGACACTCATACGTGCCCAGTGTGAATTTGAAGCTACTGGGTCCAAAACTCGAACCACAGTTGACTTACATGGGAGTCCAGTGACATAACCATTACACCATCTGCTGTTTCTGCATTTAGAATGCATTTAGAATTTAAAAGAGTCTTGTGAGTTGGTTTGAGCGTCCTTTTTTTTGGGGGGGGGGGAGTTGGGAGAGGTCTGTGCTATAGGGAATATGCAGTCGCCAGAAAGAGACAGAGAGAAAACGAGACATCACCCCTCTGGGGGGATGGCCACACTATAATCCCTTGGAATCTCCTCCATTCTCCTCAGGATCTTGGGCACGCACACACACTTGCCCAGCGTGAGTTTAAGCCACTGGGTCCGGGACTCGAACTGTGGTCACCTACATGGGAGTCCAGTGACATAGCCATTATGCCATCTGCTGGTCCTGGTGTGAGCGTTTTAAGAACGTTTATTGGGGGCTGAGTTCTCGTAATCTGTCCCTCTGGCAAGCCTCTGTGCCCTGTAGCAAAAATCTTTTTTTTTTTTTTTTAAATAAAAAAGTGTATCTCTGCCCAACCTGTGATGCATTCGGTAAGAAGTTGACCTGTGGTGCTGGAATCCTCATGACCAAGCCTGGATTTGGATTCCTATTTCCAGGCCAGCCTGGAAACACTCTGGGCACTCTGTTGGCAAGATCCTGAGGAGGGAAGGTGGATGTGCAATGGGACCCTGCTGAGGGTGCGCCTCTCTCTCTCTCTCTCATGTGCTCTCTATCGTAAATAAAATAAAATAACCTTTGACAAAAAAGTTTATATGCCACTAACGCTCTTGGATCTATTAATGTGGGTACCAAGGCCACGTTTGTCTACAACCTATTAGGCAACCAGCAAAAAGGAATTCTGCCCTTGGACATTGAGTTATCTCAGTGGATTGAATAACTGGTAATGAGCCTCTGAGGATAGACTTGGTCTCTACCTGGGTCAGTTAATTTCTTTCTTTTTTTTTTTTTTTTTTCTTTTTATGAAGAGGTTTTTGCTATAGGGAGTGTGCGCTCGCCAGAAATACAGAGAGACAGAAAGCAAGAAATTACCCCCCGGGGGGATGGCCACGCCGCAGTCCCTTCTCCATTCTCCTCTTGGGACCTTGGGCACGCACGCACATGCGCACGGTGTGAGTTTAAGCCACTGGGGCCAGTACTCAAACCGTCGTTGACCACGTGAGAGTCCAGCGACATAGTCATTACAGTTAACTGTTGGTCCCCAGCCCCCTTTTTTTAAGAATTATTTATTTAATTTCCTTTCTTCTTTTTTTTTAAATTTGACCAGAGAGAGAGGGAAAGTGAGCGAACAAGCCACCAGGTCCAGGGCTTGAACTGTGGTCGACCATGTCGGAGTGCCCAGTGCTTTAGCCACGACACCACCTGCTGGCCCAAAGAGTGAATTATAATTTCTTTTTCCTTTTAATTACACTATTTTACTTATTTATTTTAATTTGTCCAAAGAGGGACAGAGAGAGAGAGAGAGAGAGAGAGAAAGCAAGCCGCCAGGTCCGGGATTCGAACTGCAGTTGACCATGTGAGAATCCAGGGCCCTTAACCATCCCGCCTCCTGCTGGCCCCGGGTCAGTTGATTTCTAACAAGAAAGGTTTATTTGTTCCCCTGCTGCAAAGCCAGGTCCTTAGAAATTAAAGAGCAACAGTCCTTTCGTATATGGTTTCTTTTTCCTACTTGGAAGTAAAACATTATAGAATAAATTCAGTGACTAATTTGACTCTTGGTTTTGTCAGTTTGGGATAAACTGTTTATATTTCTCTTTTTAGGGATCGTCCATTATATCTTCATGTTCAGGGCCAGACACGAGAGTTGGTAGACAGTAAGTAATTTTGGGGTCAATACTGATTTCTGTGAAGAGCAAAGTACAGGACTCTGTGTAACATGTTGGCACTGTCCCCAATGGCTGCTGTAACTATTATTTCTGAACCATGCACAATTATGTAAGGGTATTTGGGAAGGTTGGGGGGTGAGGCCAGCCTGTGGCCTGGTGATTAAGGCAGCTGGATCCCACATGACTAACCACACAGTACAGGTCCCAGACCTGGCGAGTTGAGAAGCACACCAGGCACATGTGCATGCATGCTCAAAATCCCGATGGAGGGGGAAGATGGAGGAGAAGGGATTGCCGTGTAACTATGCCCTGTGGGGGGGTTTTCATGCCCACCCCCTGCAGCCTTCCCTAACCCTCCTTACACCCCCCATGAGTGCACATGCCCTCTGGCAAATTAAGTAAAGAAAGGTTGAGAGTCATGTATTTGGGTAATCCTTAAGATGGATTAGCGGTTTAATAATTGAACATTGGTTTGTTTTTATCACTGGACACTAGTCAGGTCATTAATTTCTTTGGTATAGTCTCTTAAGTGTGTATATTTTTCCCTAGGAGCAGTAAACCGGATCAAAGAAATTATCACCAATGGGGTAGTGAAAGCTGCCACTGGGACAAGTCCAACTTTTAATGGTGCGACAGTCACTGTTTATCACCAGCCAGCACCCATTGCTCAGCTGTCGCCAGCTGTTAGCCAGAAGCCTCCCTTCCAGTCAGGGGTATGTTTTGGGGAGAGATCGTTATTTTATTCCTACAAAATAACATATACTAAATAACTGTGTAGAAGAAAACGTCCTGAAAGTTCAACCGGAAATTACCTACTTGTGGTATTCTGTTAATAGACTATCTAGGTTTTCAAGATAGAATAAACGGGGAACCAGCAGTTAGCGTAATGGCTATGTCGCTGGACTCCCATGTAGTCGACCGCGGTTCGTGTCCCGGACCCGGTGGCTTAAAACTCACGCCGGGCGCGTGTGCGTGCGTGCCCAAGATCCTGAGAGGAGAATGGAGGAGAAGGGATTGCGGCGTGACCATCCCCCCTGAGGGGTGATTTCTTGCTTTCTGTCTCTATGTCTCTCTCTGTCTGTCTGGCGAGCGCACGCGCCCTACAGTGAAAATCTCTCAAAAAAAAGATAGAATAAACGAGTGAGCACACTTCCCTTCATGCCGATGTAATCTAGAAAGTGGCTTGATAGAACAGTGTACACTGCATTTTGAAGTCAGAGTGGTATTTGTATTTGTAAACTTGATGACAACTGGAGGACTAAGAAGGCTGAGTCTGATGAAGCAAGACTTTGCTGATACCCTCCTCCTAGAGAAAAGGGTTGAAGAGAGCAGCCGTCATTGGAGAATGTCGCAGGGCTGACTGTACCACCCAACATTGTCTAGTTTCACTGGAGACTGACTTTGCTGTAATTCTTAATGAACATTACGTCAGTTGGAGGGAAGTTGCTATGCCTACCCACTATTGGATCTTAGGTTTTTGCCTCTTAAATAGCTTGCTGAAAATAATCTGGTATTTTCTTTGAAGGTAGGTACACAGACAGCCAGGTTCTTACTTGAATGAAACTCCTTGGAAGTGTTTGTTTTTGTTGTAGAAATTGCAGGGGAGTTCTAGATTCTGGAAGTGATTAAAAGTATTGGAAGGGGGGTTTAAAGTGTTTGTGTAATAATTTTTTTTTTATTATTTTTTCTTTTATTTTTTTTTAATTTTAATTTTATTCATTCTCTACATTAATTCACTATACACCATCACAACACACAAATGAATTTTCCATCCAAAATACACTGTGCATTGGCTCAATCAAGCACATCAACATACATGTTCTCAGCAAATAATTTTCCAGTTCTTATGTCCTGCATACCTTGCCTTTTGTTTTGCCATCCCTGATTCCCCATCCCCCACCCTCTGCTATGTCCCATCCTCCTTCCACATTGTCCCTGGCATCCACGGTTGCCCTCCATGCCTTTCCCCACCCTTATCCCCCATTCATTTGATCTGCCAATGAACTTAATTAGTCTAAATATATCTAATAGCTAGCACAGCTAAGTGTTTGTGTAATAATTTTGGTGAGGATTTAATTTTGTGTTCTCAATTTAACCTGAGATGTTCTGTTCTTCCTATAGATGCATTATGTTCAAGATAAATTATTTGTGGGCCTTGAACATGCTGTGCCCACTTTCAATGTCAAGGAGAAGGTGGAAGGTCCAGGCTGCTCCTACTTGCAGCATATTCAGATCGAAACAGGTGCCAAAGTCTTCCTGCGGGGCAAAGGCTCAGGCTGCATTGAGCCAGCATCTGGCCGAGAAGCTTTTGAGCCTATGTACATTTACATCAGGTACGGAGGGATACAGTAGAGAACGCTGGGACCCAGCTTTCATTTAAACCTATGAAGATAGGCCTTTTATTTTACTAGGTTTCTGCCATAGGGCGTGTGCGCTCACCAGAGAGAGACAGAGGAGGGAGAAAGAGAAATCACCCCCGAGGGGATATGGCCACTCTGCGTCCCTTCTCTTCTCCTCTTGGGATTTTGGGCATGCACACACATCCTGGTGTACTTTTAATTTTTCTGAGAGATTTTTGCTGTGGGGTGCATGCACTCTCCAAAGAGGCAGAAGGTGAGAAATCATCCCCAAGGGGGGATGGCCATGCCACAATCCCTTCTCCATTCCCCTCTTAGGATCTGGAGCATGTGTGCACATGTACCTGGTGTGAATTTTAAGCCTCCGGGTCTGGGACTTGAACCACAGTCGACTATGGGGGAGTCCAGTGACATAACCATTACCCTATCTTCTGGTCCACCCAGTGTAATTTTCAGGGTCTAGGATTTGAAACTGTAGTTGACCATGTGGAAGTCTAGTGCACCATCTGCTGGCCCCGGTAAATTTGCATTTTATTTATGTATTTTTGAGACAGATTTTATGCTAGAGAACGCGTGCCCTCTCTGGAGAGAGACAGACAGACAAAGTGAGAAATCACCCTGCAGGGGGATGGCCACGCCACAATCCCTTCTTTTCCAGTCTCCCCTTGGGATTTTGGGCATGCATGTACATGTGCCTGGCATGAGTATTAAGCCGCTGAGTCTGAAATCCTAACTGTGGTCGAATACATGGAATTCCGGCTACGTAACCATTATGCCATCTGGTGGCCCCTCAACTTACATTTTAAAAGTTACGTTGTAGGGGCCAGCAGGTGGCATGGTGGTTGAGATGCTAGATGTCCACATGGCCTACCGTAGTTTAAGTCCCAGACCTGGCAGCTTGCTTTCTCACTCTTCCTTCTCTCTGTCTCTCTCTGATAAGAATTGAAGAATATTGTAATAAATAAGATAAGAAAGTAAGTAAATCTTTTTTAAAAATAAGTTATGTTTTAGCAACTTTATATCAAGAAATACCATTACCCGGAAAAGACTAGTAAAATACCCATGGTAATGATACTGCTTTATCTTGAAAGTTTTACATGCCTTTTTATTGTGTTCCTAGATTACAGTTTTTGAAGGACTAGACTTTAGCTGCCGTAGCGAATATTTTTTTAAAGAATTATTTAATTTTTTTTTTATTCATTTATTTTAATTTGATCAGAGAGCGAGAGAGACAGAAAGCAAGCTGCCAGGTCCAGGACTCAAACCATGGACAGCCATGTGGAAGTGTTTAGTGCCCTTAACCACCATGCCACCAGCCTCTCTAATACAGTTTTTAGTGTCTAAATAAATTGTTTCTAAATTTGTAAAATAGCATGAAAAGTGGAAACAGAATTCTGTATCCTTTATTGTTCTCTCCTTTGAATTACTGATTCTTATTTTACAGTCATCCCAAACCAGAAGGCCTGGCTGCTGCCAAGAAACTCTGTGAAAACCTCTTGCAAACAGTGAGTTTTATTTGTCCGATATTCAAAGGAGTATATCTAAGCTCTTTGTTCCACCTGCATTAGTTATTTGAGAGCTGCCATATTAAATAATCACAAATTAAGTGGCTTTAAACAGAAGACATGTATTCTTTCACACTCAGGAAGGAGTTCAGAGTCAATTCTCTGTAGGACACACACTTGTTGAGAGAGAGAAAGAAGGAAGGAAAGTGTTTAAAAAACACCCTGGTTGGGACCCCCAGTTAGCATAATGGATATGTCGTTGGACTCCCATGTAGTTGACCGCAGTTCAAGTCTCGGACCCAGTGGCTTAAACTCTATGCCGGGTGCGTGTGCGTGCTTGCCCAAAATCCCGAGAGGAGAATGGAGAGGAAGGGATTACAGCGTGGTCATCCTCCCTAGGGGTTGATTTCTCGCTTTCTGTCTGTCTGTCTCTGTCTTCCTGGCGAGCGCATGCGCCGTATAACAAAACCTCTCCACAAACAAACAAAATAAAAAACACCAAAAACACCCTGGTTGAGAGATGACCAGGCTGCAATCCCTCTATATTTTCTCAGGATTTTGGGTGGCACACACGCCTGGCATATTTTTCAAGCCACTGGGTCTGGGATTTGAACCACACAGTTGGCCTTGTCGGATCCAACTGCCTTAACCACCATACCCAAGCCCCTCTCTCTCTTTGAGAGAGAAACCATCCTATACCTGTTTCCTAGCTTCTGGTGGTTGCTTTGGAATTCTTGGTTTCTGTTAGTGTAATTGCAGTAGCATTAACGGTAGAGCTATGGTAGTTTGATACCGATTAGCAATGTTTTTGGGATAATTGCTTATTTAATTATCCATTCTTTTCTGTAAACAAATAGCTAAAAGTTAAATGCTAAGGCTATTTTCGCGGGACCAGCAGTTGGCATAATGGCTCTGTTGCTGGACTCCCATGTAGTCAACTGCGGTTCGAGTCCCAGACCCAGATCCAGTGACTTAAACTCATGCTGGGTGTATGTGCGTGCGTACCCAAGATCCTGAGAGGAGAATGTAGGGGAAGGAATTGCGGCGTAGCCATCCTCCCTCGGGGGTGATTTCTTGCTTTCTGTCTCTCTGTCTCTGTCTTTCTGGCGAGCACAGGCACCCTATAGCAAAAACCTCTCCCCCAAAAAAGACTGATTTCGAGACCAGCAGATGGCATAATGGTCATATTGCTGGATTCTACATGGCTGACCGTTGTTTGAATCCCAGATACCATGGCTTAAAACCCAAGCTGGGTGAGTGTGCGTGTGTGCCTAAAATCTAGAGAAGATAGTGAAGGGATTCTGATGTGGCCATCCTCCCTGGGGAATGATTTCTCTGTCTTTCTGTGTCTCTGGTGAGCATATGTGCCCTAAAGTAAAAATTTCTCAGAAAAACAAAACAAAACACTATTTTCGCATCCAATTTGTTTTTTCTTTTTTTAGATTTTTGGCACAGGGCATATGTGCTCACTAGCGAGGTAAAGTGAGAAATTACGTACTTGGGGTATGACCACACTACAATCTCTTCTCCATTCTCTCGAGATTTGGGGCATACACGCACATGTTCCCATAGTGTTTTTCAAGCTACTAGGTTCTGAATTTGAACTGCAGAGTCAGTTATGTGGAATCCAGCACCTTAACCACCATGCCACCTGCTGGCTCAAAATCAGTTTTTTGGGGTTGGGGGGGCTTGCTATAGGGTGCGTGCAGTCACCTCTCCTCCCATCTCCTTTTGGAATTTTAAGCACAAATGCATATGTGTCCTATGTGAGTTTGAAGCCGCTGGATCGGGACTCAAAGCACGGTTGACCACGTGAAAGTCCAGCAACATAATAACCATTATTCCATCTTCTGGTTCCTCAAATTCAATTTTTTAAAAGGTTTATTTAATTTTATGTACTATTGTTATTTTGAATTTGCTGTAGGGTCCTTGCATTCATCAGAGAGAGAGAAAGTAAAAAGCAAGCTGCCCGGTCTGTGATCAGAACCGTAGTCAGCCACCAAACCACCTGGCTGGCCCCTTACTAATTTTAACTAACTAATTTATTTATTTAAAGGTTGCCCATATCTTCTATGAGAGAGATAGGAAGAACAGACACCCCCAAAAGGGTTCTCATGATGTGTTCAGCCAGTCTAGAGCACAGGCACACTGGTATGTGCAGGGAGTCCCTGGGCACAGACATGGCACCTTACATGTGGGTCCAGTTGCATTATCCATATGCCACCATCTGGCCCTGTAGGACTGTGACTGGTTTTGTTTGTTTGCTTTGTTTTTTTTTAAGAATTATTTATTTGTTGGGGCCGGCAAGTGGCATAGTGGTTAAAGGCAGTGGACTCCCACATGGACGACCACAGTTCAAGTCTCAGACCTGGTGGCTTACTTTCTCACTTCCTCTCTCTCTCCCTCTGTCTCTCTCTGATCAAACTGGAAAATAATAATGATAATAATAATAAAGTTAAATAAAGTTAATTCTTTTTTTAAAAGAATTATTTATTTGTTTAATTCCATTTGTTGTTATTTTTTTTAATTTGACCAAAGAGAGAAAGAGAAAGAGAGCAAACTGCCAGGTCCAGGACTTGAAACATGGTTGGCCATGTGGGAATCCACCCATCTTCCGGCACCTAGGACTGTGACTGTTGGGCAGCAAAGGATATCAGTTTTGGGGTTAGATACATTTACACGTTCTTTGGTATTTAAGGGTATTTTGGAAAGCTGTTTTTTCTTCGTTAGTTTGTTTTTAATTTGTTACAGAGTGCACGTGCTCACCAGAGAGAGAGGGCAGAGGGGAGTAAGAAAGCACCCACACCCCTTGAGGGATGGTGATGTAGCAGTCCCTTCCCTATTTTTCTTTTTGGGATTTTGGGCATGTATACACATGTACCCAGTGGGTTTTCAAACTGCTAAGTTCATGACTCAAACCATACAGTTAAGCCAGGTGGGAACCCACGTGCCTCAACTATCACGCCACCAGCTGGCTCAGAAAACTGCTATCTTCTTCGCTTTTGTATATATAAGTTGATATAACAACCCTTGCACCAGATAGCTTCTTTGACCATTTCCATCTTTCTGTTTATTGATACTTGAAGTTACAGACTTAGTGGTTTGCTTGTAGTGAAGTACAGTGGGAGAAAAATACTATCTCCTCATTTATCTCTGAGCTGAACAAGAGATGTGACTGAAAGAATTCTCACTAGTTATACCAACAGATTACAGGTTTACTAATTATTATACTTAATTTCTGTGACCCTCTGGCTGGGGTATAAGCGCCATGATTGAGTCTACTTTGAGAGGGTTTAGGATTATACATGCTCCTTATTTCTAAAATTTGACCTAAGAATTTATAGATGTGCTTTGTTAAAATTTAGATTAAACAGGGCCAGCAGGTGTCATGGTGGTTAAGGTGCTGGAATTCCCACATGGCTGGCCATGGTTTGAGTCCCAGACCTGGCAGCTTGCTTTCTCACTTTCCCTCTCTCTGTCTTTCTCTGGCAAAACTCGTGAAAAATTATAATAATAATAAATAGTTCTTTTTAAAAAATTTAGATTAAATATAGGCCATGGTAATGCATTGCTGAAGAGAAGCCAGATTCCAAATGGTGACTACGGTTCACATTTCTGGCCTGGTCAGCATGAAAGGCACCTGGCATGCGCATGAGTGCCCGAAGGCCAGCAGGCTGGAAAACTGAGGGAAGAGGACAGCAAAATGACCAGGCGCTGTGGAGGGTGCTAGTCTTACTCTCTGTTGTGTGAATGTGCATGTGCTCTTATGAATAGAGAAGAGATTAGGTTAGGGCCAACTCTGTGATGTGATGGTTAAGATAGCCAGATCCCATGTGGCCAAAGCGTATAGTCCCATACCAGGTGACTTGTGCAAACCCCAAGTCCCAAAAGGAGTAATGTAATGGGAGAGAGTTACTGAGGCATGACCATTCCCCATGGTGGTGCCTTTCATATCCACCCTGCCACTTTCTCCAGTGAGTGCGTGCACACTCAACCAGATCAAAGGATAAGGGACCAGCAGGTGGCATGATGGTCAGGGTGCTGGATTCCCACATGCCTGACCATGACTTGACTTGCATGCTGGACACATGTGCATTCATGCCCAAAATCCCAGGAGGAGATTTGGGAAGGAACTGCAGCATGGACATCCTCACTGGATGGTGATTGCTCACTTTCACTCTCTCTCTCTTTAGGGAAGTACACATGCTGTCTGGCAAAAACCTTAAAAGGGGGGGTTGTGTGTCAGGAATAATAAAAACAGCAGTAAGATGACACCCTTAACACTTAATGGGGGCCAGCAAGTGGCATAGAGGTTAAGGCATTGTATTTCCTCATGGCCGACTATAGTTTAAGACTTGGACCTAGTGACTTGAAAATTATGCCGGGTGTAGGGGACCAGCAGATGGCATAGCAGTTACAGCACTGGACTCCCATATTGCTGACTGTGGTTCAAGTCCGAGACCTGGTGGCTTCGAAATCACGCCAGGCACATGGGCACGTGTCCCCAAGATCCTGGGAGGATAATGGAGGTGAAAGGATTGCGGTCTGGCTATTCTCCCTGGAGGGTGATTTCTTGCTTTCTTTCTCTGTCGAGCTCACATGCCCTGTAGCAAAAATCTCTCTCTCAAAAAAAAGAAAATCACATTGGGCATATAAGTGTGTATGCCCAAAATCCCTAGAGGAGAAGGAATTACAGCATGGCCACCCTGGGGGAGTGATTCTCTCTCTCTCTGTTAAGCGTACATGCCTAAGATTAAAAAAGAAAAAAATAGTTATGGGGTGGGGCCAGCCTGTGGCATGGTGGTTAAGGTGGCTAGACCTCACATGATCTTCAACTGCATGGTTCAAATCCCAGCCCCAACAGTATGTGATGCCCACTCACACAGCCCTGACAGGGTGGGGAAATAGAGGAGGGATTGTAGTGTGATTTTTGCCCCGTTGGTGCTTTCTCCTTTTCCTTCTGTCTCTGGTGAGCGTACGTGTCTTCTGGCAAATAAAAAGAATTCAGGTTAAGCAAGAAATTTGATTGCAACATCATGGAAATCTTTTGGGCGGGAAGTCTTTTGAGAGAGAAAGAAAATGAGAAAGAAATCACCCCCTCAGGGGGTTGGCCATACTGCAATCCATTCTCCATTTTTCTTTTCGGATTTTGGGTGTGCATACACACATACCCAGCATGTTTTTCGAGCCAGGTCTCAAAACATGAAGTTGGCCATGTTGGGATCCAGCCACATAACCACTGTGTGACTGGCTAGCCCACATGGAAATATTTGATTTCCTAGTTGCTTTGGTCCTAGAATTGTATAATCAGGCCTTTATAAATATACAGTGAATTGAAACTGTCCCATGTTAATTTGTTTTTCCTTCTCTTTTAGGTTCATGCTGAATATTCTAGATTTGTGAATCAGATTAACACTGCTGTACCTTTACCAGGTGTGTATGTCTTGAAGTGTTCAGAAAGTGTATTGCTAGTTATGTTTATGTAAAACTGTGATACGTGAGGCTAGACTGTGCCAGGGCACTAATAATGTCCCCATCAACTTAGGGTAAGGTGGAAAGCTATTCTTGCCTCAGTGTTTTTCTTCCCTAGATATTAAGTTTAATATTCAGCTAAAATGTCTCATTCTGCTGCAGCTGATTAAACACTTTTTTTCTTCCCCCTCAGGCTATACACAACCCTCTGCTATAAGTAGTGTCCCTCCTCAACCACCATATTATCCATCCAATGGCTATCAGTCTGGTTACCCTGTTGTTCCCCCTCCTCAGCAGCCAGTTCAACCTCCCTATGGAGTACCAAGCATAGTGCCACCAGCTGTTTCATTGGCACCTGGAGTCTTGCCAGCATTACCTACTGGAGTCCCACCTGTGCCAACACAATACCCGATAACACAAGTGCATCCTCCAGCTAGCACTGGACAGGTAGGATGCTGGGTCATCATTGAGTGCAGGAAAAACTGGCAGGGGTGGTGGTGGTGGCGGTGGCGGTGGTGGTGGTGATACTCATACAGTGTGTGACAGTGTTTCCTAAGGTCTTCTGTGTTCCCAACACTAAACTACCAAATAGTTGTTGAAAGCAAGAGTGGTTGGCAGACGATAAAAGGGCCACATTGCAAATACCTTAGACTTTGTGGCCCTATATTCTGTCACAGCTATGCCACTCTGTTGTACAAAAGCAGCCATGGGCAGTGCCTAAATGAATGAGCATGGCTATCTTCCTAGAACCTGGACAGAACAGGTGGGCCAGCATGGCAATTTGCCTGTCTTTGGCTTTGTGGTATTCACAAAGTAAATCCTCAAGGAGAAGGGAAGGAGGAACTGAGTTAGCAGTTCTAATCTTAGAAAGAAACAAGACGTACAGATTTTGGGGCTAGCAGGTGGTATGTGTGGTGATTAAGGTGCTGGACTTGCACAGGGTTGACCACAGTTCAAGTCCTGGGCATGGCAGCTTGCTTTCTTAATTTCTCTCTCTCTGGTAAGCACGCATGCCCTATAGCAAAGTAAACAAAATAATAATGATAAATAAAATTAAATAATACTTAGGAGGAAAAGAAAGATGTACAAATGTTTTCAGGCTGAGATGTGTAAACCTTCCGAACTTAAAGATTGTAAATGTTGGTGTGTTTCATCAATAATTTCTTAAGTCAGAAAGTAGAACTTTAGGGGGCCGCAGGTGATGTGGTAGTTGCAGGTGCTGGACTCCCACATGGCCAACCATGGTTTGAGTCCCGGACCTGCGGCTTGGTCTCTCACTTTCCTTCTCTCTCTGTCCCTCTCTGGTCAAATTAAAATAAATAAATAAAGCTAAATAAAATAATTCTTAAAAAAAATTACTTCTATACCAAATAATAATAATAATACTTTAAAAAGAAGAAAGGGGACCAGCAGTTGGTGTAATGGCTATGTCGCTGGACTCCCATGTAGTCGACCGCGGTTTGAGTCCCAGACCCGGTGGCTTAAACTCATGCTGGGTGCACGTGTATACATGCCCAAGATCCCGAGAGAAGAATGGAGGAGAAGCGATTGGAGCATGGCCATCCCCCCTGGGGGGGTGATTTCTCACTTTCTGTCTCTGTCTGGCGAGCGCATGCACCCTATAGCAAAAACCTCTCTGAAAAATAAATAAATAAATAAAAAGAGGAAAGAGAATAGAACTTAAGAAAAAGAATAACTATCCAGCTCATCTGAATGGAGATCCTTGGAGGTCTACAGTCCTTGGAGATAGGGAGAAACTGTTGAGCATGGTCATGGATTTATGGCAGGCCCTTCTCTGTGGGTCTCTCATAGTGAACCATGCCAGAGTAAACTGCAGCCCGAACCATTGCCTAGCCTCCTTACCTGTGGGCTGTGAGCACTGAAGGGGGTTTCACAGCATGTAACAAAAAAGGGCTTATGGAGCCGAGTGCGGTGGCACCCGGCTGCTCAGGAGGCTGAGGGAGGAGCACGAGTTCAAGGCCAGCTTGAGCAACATAGTGAAATTCTTGACTCAGAAAGTAAGGAAGGAGGCCTAGCAGGTGGCAGGGTGGTAGCTGCTGGTCCCTAAAAAACTTTTTTAAAAAATCACACCAGGGGACCAGCAGTTAGCATAACGGCTATGTCGCTGGACTCCCCCACAGTCGACCGCGGTTTGCGTCCTGGACCCGGTGGCTTAAAACTCACACTGGGCATGTGTGCGTCCGGGCCCGAGATCCCAAGAGGAGAAGGGAGGAGAAGGGATTGCGGCGTGGCCATTCCCCCTGGGAGGGTGATTTCTCACTTCCTGTCTCTCTGTCTGGCGAGCGCACGCATCCTATAGCAAAAACCTCTCCAAAAAAAATCACACCAGGAATGATTGTGTACATACTCAAAATCCTGAGAAGAGAATGAGAAGGGACTGTGGCATGGCCATCCCCCAATCGGGGGGTGATTTCCCTCTTTAGTCTCTCTGGTGAGTGCACATGCCTTATTCCCTATGGCAGAAATCTTAAAAAAAAAAAAACAAACAATTCTATTAGTGTTTCCTATTCAAAATCAGGTTACTTTTTCTTTCTCTCTCTCTTTCTTTCTTTCTTTTTTTTTTCCAAATTTTATTCATTGTCATTATCTTATTTTATTATTTATTTATTTATTTTGAAGTTGACCAAAGAAAGAGAAGGAAAGTGAGAAAGCAAGCTGCCAGGTCTGGGAATCAAACCACATTCAGCCATGTGGGAGTCCAGCTGCTTTAAGCACTGCTGGCCCCATTAGCTTACTTTTTTTCTTTTGGAGAGGTTTTTGCTCTAGGGTACATGTGCTCACCAGAGAGAGAAAGAGACAGAGAGCGAGACATCACCCCCCAAGGGGGGCGATGGCCATGCCGCAATCCCTTCTCCTCCAGGGATCTTGGGCACACACACGTGCCCAGTGAGAGTTTAAGCCACCGGGTCCAGGACTTGAACCACAGTCGGCTCCATGGGAGTCCAGCGACCTAGCCATTATGCCAACTGCTGGTCCCGCCATTAGCTTACTTTTTATAGTTTAGCAGATTTGTAGTTCCTCAGCTTTGAGTTACAATTGGGTAATTGTGATTAAAATCTCAAAGGGTTGCAAGGAAGAACGTTAACTGTTATTAACAGTAACAGAATTTTCCTTTTGGAAGTGCTTGTTTTTGTCTGATGTACACCGTCTTTGCACCGTCCTTTACTATATTTTGGAACTACCTCTTGCCGTTAGTCAAAATGCTTTTGACTTAGCAGCCTTACCACTAACCCTGGGGAAGTGGTTAGTGAAGGTGCCTCTGCCACAGCATTAGCAGTAGTTCTGATGCACAGAGAGCCAATCACATTGGCTAAAGGGCTGTGAATGAGAGAATGTTCTTGCTTGGTGGCTTCTGAACTAAGTAAGTGGCTTGAATTTTTATTGTTTGTTAAGGGTCATGGTTGCTCCAGGTAGCCAGATGCACCACGTTTTGGCTGCAAGTTGAACGCACTGTGTGTGTAATAGAAAGTCAGCTCCGTGTTTCCATAGGGCGTAGGGGCACTAGGAGATGTTGTCGCTAAAATGTATGCAAAGGAGACTAGGACTCGCAGGTGAAAATTTCATGAGGTACATATGGATCATTAAAGCGTATTATATTTGCTTCTGCATTCGTTAGTTGGGCATTCTCACACCGTTTTCCCTCCTTGGTTTGTTTTGGTCTCAGAGTCCCATGAGTGCTCCTTTTATTCCTGCGGCTCCTGTCAAAACTGCCTTGCCTGCTGGCCCCCAGCCCCAGCCCCAGCCCCCACTCCCAACTCAGCCCCAGGCACAGAAGAGGCGATTCACAGAGGAGCTACCAGATGAACGGGAATCTGGACTTCTTGGATATCAGGTTAAAAAAATACCCCTTCTTCCTTTCCTCGTCTTACCTTCTTACTATACTCTCCCTTTAAAGAAAGATACGTTTACATCTGTATCAACTGCCCTTTTGGTGCTAGGATTTCTGCTTTCTGAAATTCATGTAGGTTAGGTTTTTACCTTTAAGGGATTAATTTAAAGCAAGAATGATTCTCTTAAAGTGGATTTTGCCTCTGATCAGTGTGATAAGAAAATAACAAGCTCTGCACCTAGAGAGAATTCTGCCATCCGCAACATATAGAAAGAACTCTGTAGGATTCTGCACTTCCTCTTATTTGTGTAACAGACTTGAAAGCCTCTGGTAGTTCTCTACACATTGCACCAAGAACTATCAACCTACCAGAAATGTGGTTTGTATTTCAGACCTTGGCTTTCAATTTGCTATTCCTTTCCCCCCCCTCCAAAAAAAAGTTTTTTCTTCCAGCTCCGCCTCCCCCAAAAAGACTGTCAAAAATGGAATGATTCTGTGCATACACATAATTGTAAACATAGTTACTCACTGAAGTTAAAAAATATTATTAAAATATATCATTTTGGGGCCCAGCTACGGTAGCATGTGCTGGCCTGTGTTGCCACTTGGCAGGGGAGGTCCAGGTTAGTTCCTGGCTCACCTTGAAAGCCTGGCAGTCTGGGCCAACAGGTGGCATGGTGGTTAAGGCATTGGCCGACTGCAGTTCCAGTCCTGGACCTGGTGGCTTGAAAAATCACAACCAATATAATAGACAATTTTGTTTTCTTTTTTTTTCAATGCCTGGCAGTGGTTATGCCTATAGGCCAGTCGTCTCAGCTATGTGGGAGGCTGAGGCAGGAGGTTCGCAACATCGCACGGCCCTGTCTAAAGTAATTCTGGTGCAGTTTTATTAGAACCACCATTATATTTTGCTAGAATCTATTCTTTAAACCAAAGCAGTTTTACAGTTTATAACTTCGTTTATACGAACCAGTTAAGTTAATGGGCAGTCAGTTGAACACAGACAGACACAGCATAATGGATTACAACATCCTTGACCAAGTCTTACAGAGTAAAAACCTCCTACTTTGACCACAGTTTACTCCAGATCCCAAAGAGCTATGAAGTACAGTTGAATTTATTGCCATTTATCAGAAAGATGAGGCACTTGACAGTTACATTAAGGAGCTAAAGTCAATGCAGCAGTTGTAGATTTGCTAATGCCACTGTATTTTTCTGCTCATAGCATGGACCCATTCATATGACTAATTTAGGTACAGGCTTCTCCAGTCAGAATGAGATTGAAGGTGCAGGATCGAAGCCGGCAAGTTCCTCAGGCAAAGAGCGAGAGAGGGACAGGTAAGTGAGTTGGAACAGTTACACGAATATGTTCACGTGTCATTTGTTTGCACTGTTAGTGTGAGTAATGATCACTGCTATGAGCTCGAATGTGCTGAAACCGAAATGAAATCATTTCAGTCTAAGAAGCTCCTGTTCATTGTAATTGATGCAGTAATGGAAAGTAATGTATTGTTCGCTCTCTTAGCTGTTACACAGTTCTGAATAATTTAGTACTCATTCAGACATCTTTTACTTTCACTCTTCACCTTGGCTGTTTTCCTGAGTGGCCAGTGACAGAAGCATTATACAATTGAGTCGCTTTTGCTACTTGATAATTTAGACTGTACGGTGTGAAGGTCCTCAAATGGGATTCCAGCCTTCTGTCTTGTGCTGGAATCCTCCTTTTCTATATTATTATATTAACCTTCATAGGAGAGAGTTGAGTTCGTCCTATAAAAGTTTATTCTGTTTTTGGCCCAGCCTAGCTGTGTAGACAGACCTTAAACTTTTATGACTTAATAATTGCTGAAAAAGTAGGTAGGAAGAAGGTGGAGAGGGTTGAAATTATTAGTGAAAATGAACTTGAGGGGTTATCTGTAGACTTTATAATTATTCTGCTTCTTATCTGCTAGATATTAAAAACTGAATTTGTCCAAAAGAAAATTTCATTTTGTCTTTTAACAGGCAGTTGATGCCTCCACCATCCTTTCCGGTGACTGGATTAAAAACAGAGTCTGATGAAAGGACTGGGTCTGGGACCTTAACAGGGAGCCATGGTGAGTAAGACATAGCTGGGGGGATGGGGAGAGGCTAAGGGGGACTGGTCTTAAGCTATCAGTTTTCTGACCTGTTTATTCAGGTGTTTAATGTAACCTCTATATAATGTACTGGCTAATGAGAATACTTTTTTTTTTTTTATTCATACGGACAGCAATATAGTTACACAGCCTTTTATTATCAACCAACGTGTGTCTAGAAAAGAGTCTTTCGACTTACATTTTGTACATAGGATCAGTGACCATTAAAACCCTAGGAAATACTTGTGGTTGGTAGGTCATTTCAAAGTTTTGTTACCTGTGTCGTCTGGATCCCTTGAGACAGTCTGATACAGACGGAGTACGGTTTTCCTTCATATTGGGAGCTGGGCCCCATCTTGCTTCCTAGCTCTGTTGGTTATAACAGGCAGCCTGTGGCTATTAATGAAAAATGTTGAATTTTTAGCTTCCCAAAACTGTAAATCCTTCAGAGGTGCCATGGGGTCACCTCTTTTTGTCTTTTGCCTGTAGTCATAATAAAAATGGACAGAAGAAAGTACATTTTTTTCTTTTCTTAACTTCTTTTCTTTTAACTCTTTAAAGGTGAAGTATCAGTTCCCAGAGACTCACTTGCTAACTTTCCTTTTTTTCTTTTTTCTTTTTTTTTTTTTTTGTTTTGTTTTGTTTTGTGTTTTTTCTTTCTCTGTTTTCTTACATGGTTCTGGTGGATTCACATTTGCTGATGCTGGTGCTGTTTTTCATGCGATCTTCAACGTTTTTGGGTGACCGCTGACCCTGTGACCTCAAAATGGTGTCCAACTAACCACTTACAATTAACATCTTTTTTTTATTAACGCATTTATGGTATTATCTTTTTTTTTTTTTTTTTTTTTTTTTGGTGGGGAATGGGGTTGGGTTGTTTTTTTCTATTCTAGATTATCCAGCCAAGAAGATGAAAACTACGGAGAAGGGATTTGGCTTGGTGGCTTATGCCGCAGATTCATCTGATGAAGAGGAGGAGCATGGAGGTCATAAAAATGCAAGTAGTTTTCCACAGGGCTGGAGTTTGGGATATCAATACCCTTCATCACAACCGCGAGCTAAGCAACAGATGCCATTCTGGATGGCCCCATAGGAAACAGTGGAAAAGAATTTTGACCCTCGGTGACTCTTCTTAGCAATAATGCATGCATTTGATTTAACAAGACTCTGGGGCCTGTATCGGGAAGCATCTTGGACCTTTGCAGAAGTTAGAGATGCAGTGTCCCCTTTCTTAAAGGGGTTCTGTTTTTTTGTTTTTTTTTTTTTTAAATAACAAACAAACAAAAACAAAGACAAAAAATCATTTTTATTTCTGCAGTGGCATAGCATCTGTTAAAATATACTTAGAATTACAAATTTGTCTCAAAAGCTTTTTAACAATTGGTGAAATGTGCTTATTCAATAGAGCATCCCAACAGGATCGTTCCCATATACTTCTGACGTGGTCCAGCCTTTCCCAAATGAATAGCTCTCTTTACGTGAAGGAAGTTTTATTTGTATTTTACTACTGCTTGGTCAATTTTGATAATAATTGGTTACAAACAAAGTCTTACTATTTATTAGTGGGGAAATGATTTTAAGATAGTTCTTTCCTTTCAGTACATAATTCTAAGTGATCCTCACTCCTAATTCATTTTGGATTCTTTCTCTTTGGGAAAATGCTGTTTTACTAATGTAAAACTGTTGGATATAGCTGGAACCTGGATAGAAAAAAAAAAGTTTCCTTTTTCATTGTGTCTTTTTATTCTAATGATCTAAAGCTGGCACCTTCAGGCACATTTGTCTCCAATAGCCATTGCTGTTTTTATTGCCCTTCTAAGATCCTTGTCTTCAGCTGGGTCAGAGAAAACTGCTTGGCTCAACTGGTCAGAACTCATCACAGAAATGAAACTCAGTGGTCGGTCTCTCAGAACTGGTCGCAGCTAGAGAGATTTGACTGCTCGCAGTAGGACGGTGGACTTAGTGACTGACACTGCAACTTGCCCTTTTTCTTGGCATTACAGGTTTTGCCAAAAGAACTTTTTTGTATCAAATATTGATGTGTGAAAAGTGAAGGAGCTGGTTTGCCGAACCAGGAGTAGTTTGAGATACTGAACTGTCATTTTTGCACATTTGAATACTTGGCAGGCTGGCTTTGTATAAACTTACCCTCTGGTTTCCTATATGTTGTAAATATTTAGACCATAATTTCATTATAAATAAATGTATAAATACTCTGCTTGTGGTTTCCCTGTTTTTCTTTTACAAACTGTCTGTACACTAAAATTGATAAACTTCTTCACTCCTAGCATAATGCAGACACAGCCTCACCAGAAAATGCACACATATAAGACCCAGCAATGCTGGTGTGACTACACAAGGCTGGGCCTTATGGGAGGCCAGGGTTCAGTTCCCCAGCCCTCTGTGAAGCAGCAGGAGCCTGTAACTAGGTAGTTAGGGACTAGGACAGAGTATCAGGGTGAGACCTGTTAGAAACACACCCTCTCTCTCTTCTCTTCTCTCACATTACAAACCATAAAACATAAAGATCCTACAGTTTGCATACAGTGTTTAAGAGCTTTATAACTGCAAAGTATGCTCCTCTTATAATCCAGTTGAAAATTCTAAGGATTATTAATGCTGGATGTTTACCATTTCATATTTTAGCCCTCCTTTTTTAAAAATTATTTTAATTTAATTTATTTATTTATTGCTATTTTCTAATTTAACCAGACAGGGAAATTGAGAGAGCAAGCCACCAGGTCAGGGATTCAAACCATAGTTGGCCATGTGGGAGTCCAGCACCTTAACAGCCATATCACCTGCCAGCCCCAACCCTCCTTAATAGGAAATATGGTACTCGTGGAAAGATTCTGTAAAAGGAGTGGCAGACAGGAGTTTCATCTGGAGGATTTTCCATCATTATGTTCTTTTTTTTTTTTTTTTTTAATTCCATTTGTTACTATTTTTTAAATTTGACCAGAGGGAGACAGAGAAAGCAAAGCGAGAAACTAAGCCCAGGTCCGGGACTCAGAACTGTGGTCGGCCCTGTGGGAGTCCAGCACCCTTAACCACTACACCACATGCCAGCCTCCCCATTGTTAAGTTCTTTGTAGTACCTCTCTTTGTTACCTGAAGAGAGTTATTAATCTTTCTTTCTACAAAATTAATATTTTTAAATTTGCTATAGGCCATGTGCTCTTACCAGAGAGATGGGAATGTGAGAAACCAAACCAAACGGTCCAAACTTGAACTACAGTCGGCCTTGTAGGAGTCCAGCACTTTAACCACTATGCACCTGCTGGCCCCAATCTTTTTAATTTTTAAAAAAAAATTATTTTGAGAAGTTTTTGCTATAGGGCACATGTGCTTGCCAGAGCGGCCAGAGAGACAGCAAGAAATCACCCCATGGGGGGGATGGCCACAATCCCTTCTCCATTCTCCTTTTGGGATCTTGGGCATTAAGCCTCCGTGTCCGGGACTTGAACAGCAGTATACTACATGGGAGTACAGGGACATAGCCATTATGCCAACTGCTTCCCTCTATTATGTGAATTTTAACAATATGAGGGGAAGTGAGAAAGCAAGCTGCCAGGTCTGGTACTCAAACTGCCGTCGTCCTTGTGGGAGTCCAGTGCCCTAATCCACCACGCCACCTGCCAGCTCCCCGATCTTTAATCTTTTAATCTTGCCCTTTCCTACTGGAAGGGTGTTTATTTTTGAGATATTTTTGCTATAGGGTGCATGTGCTCGCTGGAGACACAAACACTGCAGTCTCCATTCTCGGGATTTTGTGCGCGCATACGCATGTGCCTAGTGTGTTTCAAGCTCGGGTCCAGGACAACCTGACGTGGGAGTCCAGTGCCTTAACCCAGGCCACCTGGTTGCCCCAGGAGTCCATTTTTGTTTACAAGAACCCCAGTTGTGTGACTTACATCTGTGTAAAATGGACACCGCGTTCGTGACAGTCTCGCTGTGAACCTGGGTCTGGGAGAGCCAGTCTTGGTTTCCAGAGCCCAATCCCTGGAGCCTCCGGGAAGCGGTTTTTCTGCCGGAGCAAGCTGTCCTCACTCGCAGTAACGCTGTATCCGGGGGTCACTGGTGGGGGCGTGCCCCTTCCCTCAGGTTTGCTGCTTCTGGCCACGTACTCGCGTTTTTGAGTTCTTTCTGCTCCCACGAGCGGCCAGCAGCCCTGAGCGGGCAGGTGCTTTAGGGGTCCCCTGCCCCTGGGCTCATCTTTCTGGCTTCCCGCCCTGTTGCTGTGACTCCTCGGCCTCGCTCCGTCCTGGAACTGGATTTGGGGACCCGGCGGGCCCTCCCCGGGGAGGAGCGGGGCGGGGCGGCCGGGCGTCACGGGAGGCCCGCCCTCCCGTCAGGACGGCGCGCTGGCGCCATCTTACCCGGCTGCGGGCCGGTCCCAGGTCGGTGCCGGGCGCTGCCGGCGGGGGCCGCGGGGG